GTGCAGTAGCTAGTCTTGCTGGTCTCTCTGCCTTTCAGGGTCTCTCGGTCTCTCTGCATATGCGCAGTTATCGCCTGGTCTACCCCGAACCGATGACTGGAGCTACACTTAGCGAAGTATGTATCTATACATGTGTATATGTATGCCTCTGAATGAGCCAACAGCCACTTATGGCGTGCGTGCATCCCAGAATGGGACGACTTTTAAGTACGCTGGTTGTGTGGCACCGGGAAGGGTTGAAATTCAACTTGCAAAGGCTAGAGCTCGGGTCGGCTCTCAAACGCCTTATGTCCCAAACCCTTGCAGCTGCAGATCCCGACAAATTGGCTTTAGCTTTGTGCCATGGGCAGTTCTCCTGCAGAGGTCCTACAGCAGAGAACAGGACTTGAACAACCTTCAAACTTGGGGCCCTAATGCCCTGGGTTTTGATCAACTCCCGCATTGCTGTCCTGAAGCGCGGAAGCCGGCCCTTGCGCTTTAGTTTCGTCCTCGCCTGAGTATCTCGCTGGTGCCACGAAGACCGCAAACCCGAATACCTTGGGATCGTTTTGTCTGATCTTGCTTTTCCCGCCTGCCCCTTAAACTTGTGATTCATGACAAAGTTAAACCTGCTGCTGGTGCCATGAGAATTGTGTCACCACCAGTAGTTGTGTCAATGCGCGCAGTGACAAGAGTTGTTAATGTTGCTCTAGCACAACGACGGTTTGTTGGTCTTCTTGGCAGAAAAGTGGGATGTCAACTTCCCAGACGGATGCTATGTGTCCAGTCTGCGGAAACATATTGGAATACACGACGGGAAAACGCAGAGGTGGACATGTGTGGGCTTAATTATTGGGAGTTATCGTTCACGGTTTCGCGCCGGCGTCGACTTCGGTCGGAATCAGAATGCCCAATTACTTGGAGGATCATGGGTAGTTGTAAGTGAGGTTATACATAAGGTAACTATAGTTATAACCCGTATTAGGGGACTTGTAACCCCACTTATAACTACCCACGAACCTCCAAGTAGGGTTCAGGGTTTAGGGACTGTTTAGGGTTTATAGGATTTAGGGCTTAGGGCTCATGTAAGTCCCCTGTCGGAGCAGGTTCGGACGAACTCAGTCACCGAAGGCCCACTTTCCAGGGCTCAGTGTGGCGAAACTATGCCATACTATACTAGGTCTTGTCTTCGGGACCCTCATAAACCCTACATTCTAAACGAACCTCGCCCAGGCAAGTCCGAGAGTGAGTGCTGAAACTATCCTCATGGTTCCGAAACCCTAGAACCCTCATAATACCCCAAACCCTAAACCCTAAGCCCTAAACCCTAAACCCCCTAAACCCTAGACGAGCCATCAGCCGACAAACACCCCAAGAAACCGAAGCCGCAGCTCCAGGTGGAGGAAACCCTGGACCCTACACCTCAAACTCTAAATAAAATCCCGAAGCCCTAAATCTAAACCCCAAACCCTGAACCCTAAACCCTAAACCCTAAACCCTGAACCCTGAACCCTATAAACCCTAAGCCCTAAACCCTCAGACTCAGGTGGAGGAGCAGGAGGAGAACGAGCGCAAGCTGGAAGCGAGATACGCGAAGCTGAAGTCCGAGCTGAAGCCTCGGAGTTCCCGGGGGAAGGGTTACTTTAAAGGGCTTGGGGTTTCGGGTTTAGGGTTTTTGGGTAAAGGGTTTGGGGTTTGGGGTTTCGGGTTTAGGGTTTTTTGGGTAAAGGGTTTGGGGTTTGGGGTTTAGGGTTTTTTGGGTAAAGGGTTTGGGGTTTAGGGTTTTAGGGTTTAGGGTTTTAGGGTTTCGGGTTTAGGGTTTCGGGTTTAGGGTTTTTTGGTTTAGGGTTTTTTGGTTTCGGGTTTTGGTTTTTTTGGTTTAGGGTTCTTTGGTTTAGGGTTTTTTTGGTTTCGGGTTTAGGGTGTAGGTCGGAGTTCCGGGTGAAGGCGGCTTTAAAGGGTTCTTTTAGCTTGTAGGGTTGCTTCAAGGTTATTTTTAAGGGTTCCTTTCAGGTTACTTTACGGGTTCCTTCGAGGGTTACTTTGAGGGTTCCTTCCAGGGTTACTTTAAGGGTTCCTTTAAGGGTTACTCTGAGGGTTCCTTTAAGGGTTACTTTATATAAAGGAGCCCCTAAAGGGAGCGTCATGGAAGAACCACTGAGGGAGCCCTGTTTTTGAACCTTCGAGCGTGCTCCTTGAAGTGTTCCCGGTTTGGGCTCTCTTCGTTCAGGGTTTACGGCTTATAGGGTTTAGGGTTTCAGGTTGGGATTCCAGGGTTTCTTGGAGTTCGACGACGCAGGGTTTGAGGGCTTGTGGCTCCGCAAGACTGTATTTTATTCTCGTGATCCATAGCGCCCTAAAGACCTGTTAGAGGGTTTATGGTTTCAGGTTTTGCAATGCTTTGCGCAGTTTGCAATTGAGGGCTTCGGGGTGAAGCACTGTGAAACTAAGGTGTCGGATTTAGGGGTACCCTGAAACCCCCGTGACAGCCCAAGATCCCTGAATTGTTGTTTTATGGCTTAAAAAAGAAGCCTAAATAATTACAGATATTACTATTAGGGTTCCTTACTATGAGTATCAACTAGTATGAATATATGATAAAGGGCCCCAAAACCCTATTGCAACTATTAAGGCCCCTACATTAGGTTACTCAACCTTACGTTATAGAGTGATCCAGAATCCAAAGTATGCCACCCCAAAAGCCTGAAGGCAGAAGGCCATAAAGCACCAAACCCTTTCGAAACCCGAAGCGTCTATAAAGTTACGGAGCCCCAAAAGAAATCCGGTAAGCGGAAAGTTCTAAACCCTAAAAAAAAACGTTTTAAGAAATCGTAAGTTGAAGGAACCGTAACAGCCCTCCTCACTGAGGCGGGGTCTGAACGACGAGGACTCTTCGGCGGTTTAGGGCTCAGGGTTCAGGGTTGGGAGTGTGTTTTTGGCTGGACCGGGCTGCTGGACAGCTGTTGCAAAAAGGGTTTAAAGCTTAGAGTTCAGGGATAAGGGCGTAGGGTTTGAGTTGCAAGGTTTTGGGTTCAGCTCCCCAACCCCCCCTAACTGCAAAAACCCTGCGTGCACCGGCCCATCCTAATCCTGAAATCAGTGAAGCCTAGGAAAAACGGAGTGAAAGGGTCGTGAAGCTTAGTGGAAAGTGCGCGTGAGCAGGTCCTCGGAAGGTATAGCCGTAAAACCAGTTCTTGAGTTTGTTCGCAGCGCCCAGGAAGATGGCAAGGGGCGGTGGCCCCCAACCCTAAACCCTAAACCCTAGACAAGGGGAGGGGTGCGGGGAAGCAGCTACATCCCCAGCAGAAGCCCAGACCCTGAACCCCAAACCCGAAGTCGAGACCTTTCCGATGGCAGCTGCAGGAGAAAAGGGGGGGGGGAATTTAACAAAACCCGTAATCTAGGGGCTTTAATAATTCGAATAGGGTTTTGGGGGGTTCCTCATTATAGTCATAGTATAATATACCCAAAACCCTCTTCTAATTATTCAGGCTCCGATAGTACGAGGAGACGCTGAACACTTTCTTTGCCCTCTTCGACAACTGCATCCAACTCTATCGGCTGAACAAGTCGTCGACCCAGAACTCGACATGGAGTAGGGGTTTAGGGTTTAGGGGTTTAGGGTTTGGGGGTTAAGAGTCCTGGATGCAAAAAAAGGGTTTGGGGGTTCAGGGGTTTAGGGTTTAGCCGCTTAGGGTTTAGGTTTTAGGGTTTAGGGGTTGAGGGGTGTAGAGTTCCGACATTGACATGAAGCAGCTTTGGGCTTAATAGTAGAGCAAGTAATCTTTGGCCTTGTTGGTGCAGTAAAAAACCCAATCTAACCCAAAAGGTTCGCCTGTAGCTTCTCTAAGAAATTGCATAAGGAAGAGGGTTTACGCTCACCAGTATTCCATAAAAGACCCGGTTATGTAGTACAACCGCTTGAATAATTCATAATACTATTCCCTACAGTTTCTTGTAGTACTTAAAATATTATAGTAGATTATAGTAGATCCGAAAACCTTATTCTAAGCATTACTGCCCCTATATGACTCGCTCAAGCCCTCGTATAAAGTCTCCTCCAAGGAGTTTCCAGGCTTCGGCATCCGGTCCTCCGCCCTAATCACATCATAATACTCATTCCCCCCGAGCAGCCTGAACCGTGGATGGGTTTCTCTCTTATGGGCTTAGGGAGGGGGCTGTTAGGGTTAATCATGGGGTTGGGGTGTAGGGTTTGGGGATGAGGGAGGTTGATTCGGGCCGGATGGGTTTCTGAAGTTTATGGGTTCCTTGAAGATCAGTTACCCCAAAAAGCCCAGTTATGTCGTGCAGTATATCAAGGCTTCATCGGGTTCGGGAGTTGTAGCATAGTCTATTTGTCCGAAGAGGAGTAGTGCAAGCAGTGCCAAAACTGCACGGAATGCATGCGCCCGGTCCACGCAGCTTCAGGGTTGTTGGAAAAGGGTCGCTGAGGATTCTCGCAGTATAGACCCCTGATCCTTTAGCCCCCTTTCCCATTAGGACTACAATAGGGATCTAACCTCAACCTAAACCCCTAAACCGTAAACCTTAAGGAAAGGGAGTTTGTTAATCCGGGTTTGATTCGACCCCTCAGTTCACGCATAAACCCTGAACTTGCGAACCGTGTCGCCTGCTCGGACTGTTGGTTATACCTTTCTTGGACTTTAACGGATCCAAAAGTGCCAAGTAGGAGGGAAAACAACAGGCTCCAAAAACCTAAAGGTGCGGTACTGGTGCTTGAGGTAGCAACCCCAGCTCAGAAATAGGGGTCTGAATCATTCCCAAGACCCTAAGCCTTAGTCTTAATCCAAGAAACCCCTAGCCCCAGACCCTAAACCCTAAATGCTTGATAATTTAGGGGCCTTAATAGTTGGAATAGCATTTTGAGGGTTCTTTATTATAATTATAGTATAATATACCCCCAAACCCTCTCCTAATTCTTAAGGCCCCCTACATTTCGTCGTAGGACGACCCTAAGCCCTGCAGACCCTTAGGGTGCGTTTCAGGGGCTCAGGGTCGCCATGCCGCCCATGCTTCGCGCAGAGCAGCTGCCGCAGTACATCGCGTCTATGGACCCGCCCGGATGTGATGTTCGTAGGTATTTGGGAAGTAGTTGGGTGTGAGGTTCGTAGGTATTTAGGCAGTATTTGCGTGTGAGGAGCCCTATTTACAGTCTAGAGGTCTTTCGGGCAAGGGCTTGGGGCGCAGGGTGTGTCTAATTAGTTAGTTCTGCCGATCCTTGCACATCACGGATCCTACGATTAGTGGCTTGCTTGATGGTCCCTTATTTTCGGTGTCAGTCCCAACCGTGTGTTGGAATATGCATCGTTATGTTCATTCATGCCTCTGTGCTTAAAAGAGGGGCCTAAATAGTTACTTATACTATTTTGGGGGTTCCTTATTGTGGTTATAGTATAACAGACCCCACAACCTATTATAGTCATGAAGGCCCCTACTTAAGACATGTTTGAGCGAGAGAAAGTGCAAGTCGGGTCAAGGCATTCTGACGCATTCTGTCGTGTGAGTCTTGGCTGAGTCTTGTGTTTGTAAGCACTGAAGAGCTGGTTCCCCAATAAAGCCCCCAACAAACAATGCCTACAACCGCAAAAATCCGAAATGGTCGAAATTACTACTAGGGTTATTGTAACCGCCTACGTACGTCTTCTCAGATGGCTGAGGCACGCCCTAGGGGGCATCGGCAAGGTTTGCCTCAAAAAGCCGGTGTGGGAGTTGTGAGAATCGGACGTCGTCGTGTTGTCGCCCTAAACAGCAGTAAGATAGGGGTCGAAATAATTGCTTACACTATTTTGGGGTTCCTTGTTGTAGATAAAGCATAACACCATTCTGATGATTAAGGCCCTATATTACGCTCATTACAACGATACCCTGCGCCCCAAGAACACAAAAGGCAGCATGGTTTTAAGAACCGCCTTCAGCCTCTTGTGCCACTGTCAAGGAGCAAGACCGGAATGCGCGGTTGAAGAAGGTGGAAACGCGAATACATAAGGCCCTCGCATGCTGCGATGTTCAAGGTTAGCTCGAGAGCCTGCATTGAGGTAGCCTGGAAAGCATGGCCCATCTCGTGTGTTTGGGGCTTCGGGGTCGCAGTAGAGCTCGTTCATGACCTCACCAGGCTGTTCGAGCCTGCGCAGTGGGGGGGGGTTGGCTGTGTTGACGCCAGCTTGTGTGTGATGCAAAACAAGAACTTCAGCCTCAGCCTTCACCTGCTCAACCTTGGATGTCCATAAGGCATCGTTGAACGTCTTTTAGTCCAAGGGCCCTATGCAGAGACCCTGAATTGGAGGACCATGTTTGGATGACCTAGTTTATGTTCAGGATCCTATAGTAAGATATAGTAAGAAAGTGAGGTAACCCAAACACAGTTGCTACAACTCAGGGCCTAGGTTAATCTTACCCTAAACCCTAATCCCAAGCCCTATAAACCCTAATACTAATCTGAACCCTAAACCTTGAAACCCTAAACCCTAAACCCAAAACCCTAATACTAATCTTAACCCCAAACCACTGAGACGGTCGCCTGGCAGGCGAACGAGAAGTATGCTGCAATTTCGACGGCCATAGAGGCTACGAGACGGTAGCCGTCGTTCAGGGTTTAGGGCTTTTTGAAGGCCTTAGTGGTTGCGAGGTTTATGGGGTTTGCTGTCGAAAACTGGGATAGAGGCGGACTTCTTCCATAGCTGAACATTTCAGACCCCTGCATTCTGAAAGGCGAGATACCACTATGTATCCTCTTATGGGAAGGGTGCCCTAGAAGCGTAAAGCCTAGCTCTGTTCTGCATACATTCTTTGCAAGATGATAGGAACCTTGACCCTTTAAGTCATAATCCCAGTAACACGGAGTGAACCACCTCAGCGCCAAGCCAACGTTTCTTCATGGACTCTTATCATACATTTTATTATTAGGCAATAGTATAGCGCGACTTGCGAGACGCCCAAACCAAGACGTCGGCTATGCCCCCAGGCACCAGACTCCATCCCAGGATCTGGTTTATTCTTTGGGGGGGGGTTAGGGCTTGGTTCCATGTGCGAAATGTGTAGGTTGACTCTTTGGTTCAGTTCCTTGTAACATGGGGGCAGCGCCACTCAACTCTTGTGAAACCGGCCCGCACCACAATCCGAAGCCCGCCAGGACATGCTGGAAGAGCATGCTCGTCAGCTGGCATCGAACGAGGCCGCAGCGCAGCGAAAGGAGACTGCACGGGGCCTGTTCAGCATAGTAGCCGGAGAACTCAGTATGTACGACTGTTGCAAGTAGGGCTGCAAATAGGGTAACCGGGGAACTGCAATAATAGGGCACTTACACAGGTCGCGCATGCATGAAACTGATGTATGCGGCTTACGGCCGAATTTAGGATTTAGGCCACTCTCGCCTTAAGAGAGGGTGAAGGCACCTCAGTCCCTGCTGACAAGGGCCAAACTCAGGACTTTGGGTTTAGGGCCCAGTGTGTGTGTGTGTGTGCGTGTGTGTGCGTGTGCGTGCAAGCATGCAAGTTCACATGCATGTAGACAACTTAGTTTATAGATGCACATGATTGCAGCGAAGCGGAGTTATTATTCTTACACCGTTTGTGTATCTGGAGAGAGATATGCGGAGATGAGGAGATTACTTAGACAGAGAGCGCATGACCATAGAAGTCTTGTTGTCCATAGTGAGGCGTAGTACTCATCGTGCGAAAGGCCCAAACCTACCATCGTACCATTTTCATGGCAACAAGACGTCAGTACAACGAAAGCAGTTTCAAAGTCAGAAGCTGGGCAAAATCACTGTCGTTCTAGGACCTACTAGACATGTGGATTGGTGGTGACTTGTCTCGAAGCCAGATGTTCGTATATGGATGTGGCTATGCCAGATCAGGCACAAACCATCGCAAACGTTCTTCGAAGTGTGCTTCACCGACGTGGGTTTAAGGGGTCAAGGAACAGGAGAGGGAGATGGTATCCTTGAAAATTCGGGGCCCTTCCTTCAGCATCCTCATGTTCAGGCCCCCCCCCCCCCCGCCGCTACTTTGGTGTCGTAAAGGGCCCGCCCTTGTCTCAGCAGGAGGAACAGATCCGAAAAGCTGCGGAGCAGGCAATCGCTGCTGCAGAGGCGCTTGTTTTTGCATGGCGTCTCCAGCTCCAAAACCCTTGTAGCGGTCCTTAGAGTAAGCTTGCGGGCTTCAGACTCCCGTGGCCGCTCGATTGAGATGAAATTCGTGCAGTATGTGACTTTCTGCATGTGTATGTACATATATATTTATATATA